GGCACCACCACGTGGCAGAGCACAAAATAGGAATATGGATTAACTTAAAATATAAGAGCTAGTGCCAGGTGGTGGTGGTGCCTTTAATTCCAGCACTGGGGAGGCAGAGGCAGGTGGATCTCTGTCTGTGAGTTTGAGACCAGCCTGGTCTACAAGAGCTAGTTCCAGGACAGCCTCCAAAGGCACAGAGAAACCCTGTCTCAAAAAAAAAAAAAGCCGGGCATTGGTGGCACATGCCTTTAATCCCAGCACTCCGGAGGCAGCGGCAGGCAGATCTCTGTGAGTTCAAGGCCAGCCTGGTCTCCAGAGCGAGTGCCAGCATAGGCTCCAAAGCTACACAGAGAAACCCCTGTCTCAAAAACAAACAAACAAACAAAAAAGGACTTAGCTAGTAACAAGCCTGAGCTATCAGCCGAGCATTTATAAGTAATATTAAGTCTCCAAGTCAATTATTTGGGAAGCGGCCACAGGGTATTTGGGAACCTTCGAGCAGGAGAGAAATGTATGATTACATGTCTGAGTCTATCAATAAACTCACACGGTGTCTTAAGACTGCACATTTCCCTTTCCCTGTATGACTCTCCGTCTAATTACTGAATAAACTCACTAACTCTGCTTCATCCTGGCTCATCCTGAAATTCTTTTCTATGGTTACAAAGATGCTGCTTTACCTCAATAGCAGTCACTAAGGGGGAAAGCAATTCCTCAGCTGCAGTGGCAGCACTCAGCTGTCTCCCTACTGCCACAGACACATAGTGTCTCAGTATCTAGAATCCACCAAATAGATGCTGTTTTTATAGATGAGGAGACTATTTAATGCTCCTTGATCCATTCCTATTGAAGGCAATTTTCTTATGTCTTCACTGTTTGTAGAGAAAGTAGCTTTGGATTCTGGGCCTATTCTTTCTTGTAAAGCTAGTATTTCACAAAGCATAACATGAAAATACTATTAGTCTTCATTAAAACACAGCCTTTAATCCCAGCACTTGGGAGGCAGAGACAAGTGAATTTCTGTGAGTTCAAAGCCAGCCTGGTCTACAAAGTGAGTTCCAAGACAACCAGAGCTGTTACATAGAGAAACCCTGTCTCAAAAAACAAACAGAGGGCTGGAGAGATGGTTCAGAAGTTAAGAGCACCAGCTGCTCTTCCAGAGGTCCTCAGTTCAATTCCCAGCAACCACATAGTGGCTCACAACCATCTGTTATGAGATCTGGTGCCCTCTACTGGTGTGCAGATATACATGGAAGCAGACTATTGTATACATAATAAACAAAATCTTTTAAAACAAACAAACATTATAACATGTTCATAAAATCATAAAGTGATTTAGACATTCTAACTAGGTAACAAATTGAAATTATTAACAGAGCTAGACATGATGGCATATACCTATAATCCCAGAACTGGGACAAGATGCTACAGGATCAGGAATTAGCCTTAGCTACAAAGTGAGTTTGAGGCCAGCCTGGGCTCACAACGTTCTCTCAAAATTAACAAACGAAAGAAAATACTAACACAAGATCAATCTTATTCCCTGCCCAATGCATATTTATGCATATTCATAATAACTAACATCTTATTAACAGAAATTATAAATCCATCTTGACAATGTGATTGTCGTTTTTGTTTGTTTTCAAGGCAGGGTCTTACTATTTAGTTCTGGCTGGCCTCTGCCTCCCAAGTACTGGAATTCAAAACATGTACCACCATCACCTGGCTGACAGTGTGATTTTCCTTTAAGTTTTATTCATTTCTTTAAGAGTATGGGTGCTTTGTCTGCAGGTATATCTCTGTATTATTTGTGTATCTGGTGCCTGCAGAGACCACAGAGGGCATCAGTGTCCTTGGAACTTGGAATACAGACAGTTGTTAGCTGCCATGTGGTTGCTGGGAATCAAATCCAGGTCCTCTGAAAGAGCAGCTGGTGCTCTTAACCACCAAACCATCACTTCAGTCCCCCCATTAAAAGATTATTTTTTAACTTTTTTTAGATTTTATTTATTTATTATATATACAACATTCTGCTTCCATGTATATCTGCACATCTGTACAGGGCACCAGATCTCATAACGGATGGTTGTGAGCCACCATGTGGTCGCTGGGAATTGAACTCAGGGCCTCCGGAAGAGCAGTCGGTGCTCTTAACCTCTGAGCCATCTCTCCAGCCCTAAAAGGTTCTTTTTAATATTTGTCTTATTAATAGACAAATTAATATTTGCTGGAGAGATGGCAAAACACCAATGCACATAAATTAAAATTTTAAAAATTTTAAAAAGGCCGGGCATTGGTGGCGCATGCCTTTAATCCCAGCACTCGGGAGGCAGAGGCAGGCGGATCACTGTAAGTTCGAGGCCAGCCTGGTCTCCAGAGCGAGTGCCAGGATAGGCACCGAAGCTACACAGAGAAACCCTGTATTTAAAAAAAAGATTTATCTTTGTGTGTATGGCTGTTTTACCCACGTGTATAATTGTACAGAACCCTTGGAGGACAGAAAAGGGCTCCAGATCCCCTGGAACTGGAGTTTCAGATGGTTATGTGGGTGCTGGGAATTAAACCCAGGTCTCCTGGAAGGATAGCCAATGCCCCTAACCACTGAGCAACCTCTCCCACACCAACAACAATCTTCACACAATAATATCTCCTAGGAAGTTTGGTTGGGGGAGGTTAATATTATTTTGTGGAAGTCAATCTGTGAAATATTTCTGAGTACTGCTTCCCATAACCGTCTTCCTCCTCTCCTAGTAATTATGAACAGGTAAGATGAAAATACTGAAAAGATTCATTTGAATGTCGTTAATTTTTCTCCCAACACGCATTTAAGTATAATAAAACTAGTTACTTGGGGCTGGAGAGATGGCTCAGAGGTTAAGAGCACTGACTGCTCTTCCAGAGGTCCTGAGTTCAATTCCCAGCAACCACATGGTGGCTCACAACCATCTGTTATGAGATCTGGCCCCCTCTTCTGGTGTGCAGATATACATAGAAGCAGAATGTTGTATACATAATAAATAAAATCTTTAAAAAAAAAACTAGTCGCTTGCTTGAATTCTTTTTACAATTAAGAGCTAGAGAGGTATCATTTAAATAATCCCCATGAATTTTGGGGGTGGGGGAAACTGAAAATGACATCGTACACCAAATCATTGGTAATGAATACTCCTGCCAGGTATGGTGGCACTTTCCTTTAATTCTAGCACCCAGAGGCAGAAGCAGGGTAGATATCCAGTCAGCCAGAACTACACAGTGAGATCCCCATCTCCAAATTATTTTTTCTCTAAAAAGTGTGCCAGGTGTGGTGGTACATGCCTTTAATCCTACTGCCTGGGAGGCAGGGGCAGGCATATCTCTTTATTCCCAGCACTCGAGAGACAGAGGCAGACGATCTCTGTTAGTTCAAGGCCACCGTGAGCTACACGAAATTGATCCAATTTTAAAGAGAAACAGAGCTCACACAAAGGTGCTCTCAGCATGTGGGATCCCATGCCTTGAATCCCAGCACTGGAGAGGAATATAAGGCGGGAGGAGACAGGAGCTCAGTGCAGTCTGAGGTTTGGTGGAGACAGATGCAGTCTGCGGACAGGGGAGCCCTTTCAGGCTGACCATTGGTAGAGGTGAGACTCTCTAGTGGCTGGCCGCTTTGCTTCTCTCATCTTCAGCTTTAACCCGAGTATCTGTCTCTGGGTCTTTATTATTAATACCAAATAGAATTCTTGCTACCCAATCCTTCCAAAAAAGCCCATTACAATTGGGATTAAATACCCCTTTCAGACTGAATATTGTTTGGTCCAAAATAGAGACTCAATGTAGCTTTATCGTTGCCTTTTCGCACCGAATGACCGATGAACACATCATATTGAATTAAATTATTGGAAAAATCATTAATAAATACAGGACTTCTAAAACGGTCGTCGGAATCCTATTCTTGGAACCTCAGTACCCCACCTTCTCTGGCACTTTATTTGGGGACAATTCTAAGAGCTCCATAATGAACACAAGGCTGTGCTATTTTAAGTCTGAACCTTCATTCCAGGCTCCAACTATCAACTTTTCCCTTTGATAGCCGTTTTACTGTATTCTGCGTAGTGTGGCCGTCTGGTGAAATGACTAGAGGCAGAGGCAGAAATCCCAGTGCACACATTCCGAGAAGCCGTTGGCATCCCTGCTCTCCCACCATCCCCAGAGTAACACTGCGAGCCTTCTGTGTGCTACCCCTGGGAAAGACAATGTACGCAGT